GCGATGCTGAGTCTGCCTAGGGGGGACTTAGCAAACGACCGGCGCCCAGGCTCAGCGGAAACCGCGTCTTGGCGAACTCAACCCTAACCCTGATCATCCGGCGAGCTCTGCTCGTGGTGGACTCTGGAGGCCGCATCGTCACTGGATGACTCGCCATATGTGGCCTCCGGCAGCATGCTCGCTCCGCGTTCGTGTAGCGTCATGGAGTCACTGCCCAATGTCGTACGTTGATCTGAAGCATGATGTATGATGCGTGACAGCTCAATCTGAACGTTGACTCTTGCAGGCTATAGCAACAGATAGCAACGCATGCTGCGAATGCAACCGTTGCCGACGCCTTTTCTCCTCCCCTCGTTCACCCCCGCCTTTCAGCAGTTCGGGATGTCTGGCTCGTTAAAGAGGCTCTGGTCTGACTTGGAGGACTCGACTTACCTCCCGCGCAAACGCATCCATGACGCCCTGGTTCAACTGCTAGGATTTCGCGATCAATCACCTCCGTTGCGATCCGCGAACTGGCCCGGCCGCCTTCCCGACGACATACTCTTCAACATTTTCAGCCTTGTCATTGAAGACTTCTTCTCTCAACCAGATGCCCTCTTCACGTCTGAAGTTGTTCCCCAACTGGCGCTCGGGAGGGTCTGCCGTCAATGGAGACTCGCACTTCGAGACCTTCGATCAGCATGGACGTCTATTCCCGCTGGGATGTCCCCTCCCCTGGTGGTGTCGAGCTACTACCATTCTCGCGGGCTTCCTCTGCGCACTGGCGTGCAGTTCACTCTCCCGGATCTCTGTCTCACCGGACCGTGGTCGCGCGTGCGCCTACAAAATGAGCTTCTTTCGCAGTTTGATACCAAGTTCAGCCTACCTACGGAGATACTCAAGGGAAAGGCGGTAGACTTCCGGAGTGTGCAGGAGCTGGCGATCGAGGTGTCGTCATACGTCCTCTCGGAGCTGGGAGCCCAAATGTTGTGGCGAAAGCGGACCTTTCCCAATATCGACACGCTTCATCTTGCGCTTCATGCCAGCACCTCTGAGCTGGAGCGACTCCCGACAAACTTACAACATCTCTACCGTCGAAATGGACACGCCACATTCTACAACTTCTCTTGGACCCGCCTCTTTCCGAGTCTTCGCAAACTACGCCTGGATGGAGTCGAGCTATCAGACTGGTCACTCTCGCTTCCTCCGGGTTTGCGCCAGCTCGAGCTGACTCTCATGAGTGACGATCAGCGCGACGTCTTAGGCATCGCCCCGGCTAACGCCCGCTCGCTCGCCTTCCTCTTTCACGACTTGACCTCTCTTCCGAGTCTGGAGAAGCTCTCAGTAGATTTCGACGGACTTTCACTCAAAACGAGTGTTCAACAAACCGACCAGGCGCTTCTCTCCACTCTGAGCTCCCTAAAGGAGGTCAACCTGACGGCCTTCTCGCCTTATCCACTCTACCTCATATCATGTGCCAACCTACCCACCCTCCGCCGCTGCTCTATGAACCTCCGGTACCACAACTATCCTAGCTTTGGTGCAACAGCAGACAAGCTGAACGACGTTTTCTTCAACTTCATTCGCCAATTGGCCTCCGTTGGAGTACACCTACGTTCGGTCTACGTTGGACACCATGGCTGCCCGTCATCACTCAGGAGCGCAGTCTCCATCATGGCCTCGACCGAGCTCCTCGACTGGACCGACTCTTCTGCCGTTCGTGCTTTCTATGAGAACGCCAACTTGAAGTGCACCGTGTCATGGGACCCAGACATGCACGCTTCGGACTCAACCATCGCAAACGCTTTCCTGAGCGCCCTTCTGTGTTCCATCCCAGCTCACGTTTCGGACACACATCCCATCCACTCCTTGGCGTTTTCGGACGACGGCAGCTTGTGCTCTTACTTCTGCTCTGAGACGCTTCTCATGCACATGCCATGCTTGCACACGCTCGTGTGCTACGGTTCCGATGAGCAACTAGTGAAAGCTCTGCGCGGTTCGAGGGACGTGCAACACCTGAAGACGTTCGTCACGGAGGGTCCCGTCGAACTCGAGAAGACCTCACCACCACGCTATGATCTGGGCATATCGGGGGAGCCCGTTCAAGTGAAGTTCGTCGGAGCAGAGCCTGGCAGAATCCTGCGCGACGCGGTGATGAAGGCGATGTAGCAGTACAGAAGACCTCGCAAGTCACCATTCTTTCCTTGATACCATTGTTGTTATGTCACGTCGTCTTGCTTTATGTTATCATGTATCACGTCTTCTCCCTGTATCGCATGCACAGCATCTTATATCCCTCACGAGTAGCCGGCCGACGTTCAATACATAGATTCGAAATCAAAGTGCACGCGCCCGAACACAATTCCCATACGTCATCTTGCTACGCCCGCCCTCCCCATTCCCGCGCCGACTTAATGATAGACGGTCGAGGTATGCGCGACACTGTGCGACTGCTTCGAGAACCACGTGGAACGAAGCGAGGTATGCGAGACGCTCGTGTTGCCATCCAAGCCATCCGCGCGTATACATCTTCACCCAGCTCCGCCCTCTCCTTGATCGGTGACAGTCTGCGCGGCCCACTATCCGCGATAGGGCTCGGAGGGCATGATCCGACGTCTTCTACATCGGTATACCAGCTGCTGATCCCAAGTCGTCGTACAACGTCTGCCATATGCGCCTGCGATGCCCCACCCGCGCCCACCGATGCAACCTGGAAGGGATCAGTATCTGCTAACGTAGACTGCGGAACGATACCGCTCGCTGGGCTCTCTCCCTGATAACCATCTGTCGGGCAACGACGAACATAGCGCACACGATGATCAAGTGGCGCTTCAAGGTCTGTCGTATGTAACCACAGAGAGCGAAAGGCAGTATCAGCGTAGAGAGAAGGGAGGGTCTGAGTGTTCATGTCGCTGCTCGTGTTTATAGGAGAGGCAATACAGTCACAAAGTTGGACGTCGAATGTGAATGGTTGAAGATTGCGCCTGCAGGCGTGATATGCTAGTTATAGAGGCGCATTGAGACAGGGGTTAGAGATTGTCCAGGCGAACTTGAGATCGATCCTGGACTGGACGTCACACAGATCATGCTGAACAGAAGCATCTTCATTCCAGTCAACATCCTCTGGCTCTGGTACAAGAGCGTGAGAAGGATCGCGCACTGATACAATCAGGGGTCAGTCTGTATGGGCAATGATCTCGAACAGGTCTCCGTCGACAACGCTTGGCCAGTGAGCTATCAAGCAGACAGAGTGCCCGCCGATCCCGCCTTGAGGCGGTT